CTGCTTCTAGGAATATAAGACATCCCTTGATGGGATTTTCCGAATCTTAATGAAATTCATTTAGCTTCTTCAAAATTTCCTCGGAGGTTTTCACTAATTCTTCAAATGCACCTGAACTTTGACATGGACTGAACAATATTTGAATCCAAATCAGAAAAAAACTATGTTTCACTCCTTGTCTCCTAAATTATCATCATAATTATCATCATTAGTTGAGGATATTAAAATTTCAATAAATGTCTATGGAAGAAAGTTCTTAGAGAGGAACATTTATTCAGATATGGATTACATTTACAACTTAAAATAAGGATTCTCAATACTAAAGCATTGCAGAAAGATATGTATCTATTCACACTTTTACTAGTTTCATCACACCAATTTCTCCTAAAATGATTTTTAACACCTACCGCTGTTTCTGCAAGTCTTATTTGCATTTCTTTGTGCATCGTGTTGTTGAATCCTAAAAATCAAACACTGTCTCTTTGCCTCAAACTAGAGTGGGTTTTATGTTTATATTTCAAATAAGAAGGCATACCATCATTAAAAATGGACATCTCTCAGACCACATAAAACATCCAACTTGTGGTGAGCGATGAACATGAATCTCAGGCAGAATTTATGTCTTGCCTCTACTTTCCTATGGAAAGGAAAAAGATGTTGGCATGTTTATATTGTAAATAAGTACTGTAGATTTATGGGAAATTTGAAAATATTGCAGACAATGAACATGGGGAATTTAACAGAACAATAAAACCAAACAGAATTGCTGAACAGCTATTAATAAGGAAATCAAGTAATTGAAATATGCCTGTTGTGTAATGTTCAGTCTGGGCTGTGAACCTGTTCCTGTCTTATTGCTGCTTCGTGCTATGGTTAATGTAGTAATAAACTTTCATTTTCCTGGGCCTCAACAACTGGCATATGCTCTCCGGAGCTTATATATCACAAGGGAATGCTGAAACATATGGCAAGAAAGAAAGCATAGCATTCTTTGAGCAAGCCAAAATATTCAACAAATATTTTTGTGAGAGATTCCCTGCCTCTCCCAAGGAGAGAAAATTCAGTAAAATACTTTTGAGGAAAAGGAAAATAGAAACTTGCCTTTAGTGCTTTCTATGTTAATTGATATAGAAATGAGAAGGAATTTCTATGAGAAGGAAGGACTCACTGGAGAAGAGCCTAATGCTGGGAACAACTGAGGGCAAAAAAAGAAGAGGATGGCAGAGAATGAGGTGGCTGGATGGAGTCAAGCAATTGGCATGAGCTTAAATGGACTCAGGGAGATGGTAGAGGACAGAAAGGCCTGGAGGAATATTGTCCGTGAGTCATGATGGATCGGACACGACTTCGCAACTAACAACAGCAACAATATTAATTGAGCAAAACAAGAAGATTGTAGAAAAGCTATATATAAATCTAATCTCTAACCACAAGTAGTACGTCTTGCTTAATTGTTCTTTCAGTTCCAAACTTAACACACTGGAAACCATATTTTATAAAAAATATACTGTATAGTCTAAAATGAAGGTCCTCTTTTCTACAATCTATAATGGAAAATTCTTACAATACCTAGCATTTTAGAATGCATCCCCCTCTTATATCTATTCATTTTTTTTAAAAAAAGTTGTAAGTAACTTTGTAAACAATTGCTATTATGCTGTTAAATTGAGGGAGGAACATGGTGGCATGCATGGTTAGACACTGGCTTGACAAGCAGCAAGCTCATATTTGAGACCTGAGTGTTGCCATGGGGTGGGGTGAGCTCCCATCCTTCACTCCAGCTGGGGCATGAAAGGAGCCCCCAACTTGGCATCCCAAGGGCAATGGCAATGTCACTAGCTAATCCTTTCAACCTGGAATCTCTTCAGTGCCTCCAACATGAGGGCAATGTGATTAAGTTCATGTCAATGCTTAGAAACGACGGTACATAGCTAGATTTTGTCCAGGTGAAACTATCCCTAACTTGATCTTTCAGATCTGCCAAAAGTGCATCCATTGATGCTTTAATTCAAATTGATGCTTCTTCAAACTCCAACTTTTGCTCCCGTAGTGTGTCACAGGGAAAGCCACTTCCTGCACACTTCTGATATTTGTAGGTATGGACCAGAGGTGGGTTTTAGCAGGTTCTGACCAGTTCTGGAGAACCGGTAGCAGAAAGTTTGAGTAGTTCAGAGAACTGGTAGTAAAAATTCTGACTGGCCTCGCCCCCATCTATTCTCTGCCTCCCAAGTCCCAGCTGATTGGGAGGAAATGGAGATTTTACAGTATCCTTCCCCTGGAGTGGGGTGGGAATGGAGATTTTACAGTATTCTTCTCCGCCACGCCCACCATGCCACACCCACCAAGCCACACACACAGAACCAGTAGTAAAAAAATTTGAAACCCACTACTGGTATGGACACATCACAGTATCTGAATCTTTTTTTTCAAAAGCCTGGAATGCTACTTTACCAAGCATTCAATGGTCTATGGAATATTTCTTGACTGCTGGCTCCTTTTCCTGTTCATCCTAACAGAGAGAAACTATTTACCACTTCAGTGTCCTCACTGTCACTTCTAAGGCTGGGATCTGTCTGATCTGCACTGGATCTTCCTAAACATTATTTTGCTTACATGTAAAATCAAAGATACTGTATGGTATTTTGCACTCTTGTCTTGTCTTTTTGATGTTGGTATTGTAGTTTGTTGGCCACTATTGTAAAACTGTTGGCCACTATGTCATGCTCCAGATGTATTAGCATAAATTGATTATAACCTTAACTGATTATTTTTCTTATTTTCTTATTTTTCTATTCCTTGACAGGATTCTACAGATTCCAACATTTTTTGTAGTCTTCTGATTTGATAACGACAAGAGTATACATCTAATTTTGGTTCTCTTACTAGAGGTTCTTAGAATATCTTATAAGATAGTTTGAATGTTGAAATCTCTATTGTATAAAATTTCAGTATATTCCTTCCACTTTTGATTTTCTTTGAATTTACTGCTGTCTGTTTCTATAGTGAAATGAAAGCTTATTCCTTTCACTAAAATCTATTAGACAGAAAAGCTGCTATGAGATTACTGTTTGTTTGTTTTTGATGCTGTAGACTGATCAGTTAATCTTGTATTACAGTCACAGACCAGAGTTAAAGCTGTAGATCAGGGGTCTCCAAACTTGGCAACTTTAAGACTTGTGGACTTCAACTCCCAAAATTCTGGGAGTTGAAGTCCATAAGTCTTAAAGTTGCCAAGTTTGGAGACCCCTGCTATATATTAACATGGCTTCCCTCCTAAGACATCTGTCCATTGGCATCCATCAGCATACCAATTCAATGTTGGAATCTCCTGAGTTCTGAGATCATTTGGAAGACTGTTATTATTTTCCATATCTGTTTTTATCTTTAATGTCTTTATAGATGTTGTTATAATACTGGGTTTTGTTTTTTTGTTTTTTTTGTCTCTTTTAACAATTTTCTGAAATTGAGTTGCTTCCTGAGACCTTTAACAGTTTTGGCTTTGACGCCCTTTTTCTTTTTGACAATAGCCACCTTTTTTTTTCTGATATCCAATTAGCTTCCTTCTGTTTCTTGATCTCCTGTAGTCTGCTTTCACATTCATCCGTAACAACTTATTTAAATTAATTCCACACTTCCTCCTTCAATGAGGTTCAGAACTTTCAAAATGATTCCTGTAGATCTCTTTGAAAATGTTGGTATATGATCAAGATCATATTGCAGAAACTAATTGGCTTTTTTTTCTTCCACTTTAGTTTAATTTGAAACCTGTGTATGAACAATTTGTGATCTGTTCTATAGTTAGTCCTTGGCTACATCTTTGCTCTTACAACTGAGTTCTGGCACTTTCTTTTAACAATAATATGAACGCTTTGGCTTCTATGGACTCCATCTAGAGATGTTCACATATAAAGGCTTCATTTGATTATGAAGACTATGCTAGTAACAAAGAAACCTTGGTTTAGCAAAAATTTGAAAAGCCCTCCTTTTGCTTCACTTTATTTTCCTAAACCATACAGTCCATCACATTTTCTTCCTTAATATTTCTCACTTTGGCATTCTAATCTCTAACCACAAGTAATATGTCTTGCTTGCTTGTTCTTTCAGTTCCAAACTTAACACACTGGAGACCGTGTTTTATAAAAAATATATACAGTATTATTTAAAGTGAAGCCCCAAATGTAAATGCTGGAAGCTTTATATAGACCTAGAAAAAAAATATAGTAAGGTCTCTCAATTTCCAATCTTAAATTCTGTTCATTCTATGTCAATGTTATTTTGGGATTATTTTTTAAAAAAAGAAAAAGTTCATATAAATATATATGTCCATATGTCGTGAGGCGTTATATGTGCATGCACTGTGTGTGTGTGTGTGTGTGTGTAGTATACCTCTATAAAGCAGCATTTTGTGTTACTTTCATAAATGTATACATTTCTGTATCCACTGCATTCATAAATGTACACACAAACACATGTATGTCTAATAATTTCTTATTGTGGAACTGCATCCAAATTTGAGTAATAACTGAGTTTCACTTGTTGTATTAATTTTAAAAAGGTCAATTAAAATTAAAATGCAAGTCAAAGAAAAGTATTCCTCATGCCTGATCTAGATTCTAAACAGAATCTAGCTGTCCGTATCTGGTAAACAAGATTCCTTAGCACTTATGAGGGCAACAAGAAAAAAAAAGCATTAAGAGAATTAACATACGACAGGCTGAACATGCACAAACATCAGACATAAATCACTACTTGGGATTGGATGTATCGGTAGAAACAAGGTGAGAAGCAATGATGAATTTTCCTGCTAGAATGGGCCTTTTATGGCAAGCTTCCACAGCCTATATAAGGTATGTTTCTAAGTAATGGAAATCAGGAAAAATATGCAATCCTGAAGGAAAGAACTAGTACAGTACATTCTCTAGAACATTAGTGGAGATTTAGCACTCATAAAAAGTAGGTGCATGAATACAAAAATCATTCTGGGTTATCTTTTCTTTTAGGAGCTGGTGGCTGGTCCCCTTTGGATTCCAGTAAGGAGCAATGGCTCCAAATTGATTTGGGAGACAGAGTAGAGATTACAGGCATTGCTACTCAGGGAAGATATGGAAGCTCAGACTGGACCACAAGCTACAGTCTAATGTTCAGTGATACTGGTCGCAACTGGAAGCAGTACAGACAGGAGGACGTCATCTGGGTAAGTCTAAATCTTTTGGATAAGCTATCACCAGCTGTTTCTAGGCAAAGTGTCCTTCTCTACCTAATTTTAATTTTCCATCTTCAGAAGGATTCCAGCCATATAAATACTATTTGAGGTACCATTGTAACTTTTCTTTTTAAATGATCTACCTACATAGAAAAGATATGTTTCTATAGCAATACCAATGAGAATGAGGACTGAAATTTTAAACAGATTTGTCTAAATCTTACGGCTATGGAAATAAAATGTAAACTAACACATCATATTTTATAACAAAAAACTGAGAAATTTGGACAATCAATATATACACCCCTCAAACTACACCACTACAGATTTGGTAATTTTTATAGATAATATTAAGGCAGCTTATTTAAATCTTGTTTCTTAAACTAGCAATAGAGGCCCAATTTACATATAATGCTAAGAATTTAGATATCATGGATTAAACCCAGGAAGGTGTATTGTGATTTAATGTTGTAAAAGAACTTGGTCATAGTTTTGTAAATCTTATATAATTTTATGTGACATATTATGCATTATGGGAGTTCTTGATTAGTGTCACTTCATTGTGAGGTTCTTAGTGAAAATGAATCAGTTGAATTCTACACTGTATCTCTGTGATAGGTGGGTTATTGCACTACTGGGTCTGTTGTGGGTATTTGTAGATCAAGAAATTTACATAAATGCTTCAATTTTATTAATTTGTACCTTACTACTCTCCAGTAACTTTGTTTTAAGAAGTTGGGTTATACAATAGCTAAAAATGAACTAGAATCTGTTCCTGAACATTAATATTTCATCAATGGCATTATTCAGTGTGTTACTGTCTAAATTCTGCTGGTGTTTGAAAATTAATGTAGGAATAAATAATGCTTGTCTCTCTGCTTTGGTGCAGTAGTGAGAATTATTGAGAACATGTAAAATGTTAAGAACATTCTCAACACATGTTGTGTAAATAAAATTATTAGAATTCCTTTTCTCATTCTCTTCAGAACACTCATGATTTAAATAGTGTTTCAAACCATTTGTTCTCCAGCACAGTCCAATTCTACTAATAATTGACATGATTAATAAAGTAGTGGGAATTTTATTAAATGTTATTCAATGAATTAATTAAATGGGAAATGCACTGGAATTCTATGACTTAATTCTATAAACTCATGGTATAATTTAGGTGAACAATTTCTGTATTTTATTTGTCTTAAAATTCATGGATCAATTTTTAGTATTTGTACTAACTAGAACATATTTTATCAATAAAATATTTTAAAGCTAGCATGAAATCATTGGAATAACAATACAATAATAGTTAAATAGTTAAGGGGGATGCGGTGGCTCAGTGGCTAAGATGCTGAGCTTGTCGATCAGAAAGGTCGGCATTTCGGTGGTTTGAATCCCTAGCGCCACGTAACAGAGTGAGGTCCCGTTACTTGTCCCTGCTTCTGCCAACCTAGCAGTTCAAAAGCATGTAAAAATGCAAGTAGAAAAATAGGGATCATCTTTGATGGGAAGGTAACAGCATTCTGTGCGCCTTTGGCGTTTAGTCATGCTGGCCACATGACCACAGAATTGTCATCAGACAGCGCTGGCTCTTCGGCTTAGAAATGGAGATGAGCACGGCCCCCTAGAGTCGGGAATGACTAGCACAAATGTGCGAGGGGAACCTTTACCTTTTTAATAGTTAAGAAATTACATTTAAAATCAGAACTAGGGGTCCATTAAAAAGTTTCAGTATCAAAGACTATTGCAGGATTGTTTGCAATCTGTCATGGACCAACAAACCAGTATTTCTCTAAATATCCAGTGTTTGTTTAGATGCTCTCATAAGCCAGTTCATGCCAATTTGTGCACCAGGCTTCAAATGAAAAGGGAAAGAAAAAGATGCATAAAATTGAGATTTTCTTTCCACCGATTTTTCCAAGGCATGAGAGAGAGAGGTGGAGGGAGCGGGAGAGAGAGAGAGAGAGAGATTGTTTTGTAAGGGGGGAGAGGCAGACTTTTCCCCATTTCTTTTTCAATTTGAAAACTGAAAAATGTGACCAGATACAGTGGGAAGAGTGAGGCTACAAGTCATTTTTGACTCCTAGAGACCCCCTGGACTAGTTCCTGAAATTTTCTTTGCAAAGGTTTTTGGACGTGGTTTCCCCTTGTGAGCTTCTTAGGGCTGAGAGAGAGTGACTGGCCCAAGGTCATTTAGCTGAGTTCATGCCTATGGCAGGACTAGAAGTCACAGTCCTGATTTCTAGCCTGCTGCTTTAATTACAATGCCAAATTGGCTCTCTCTTTTTGTTTTACAGGGCAAGCATTTTCCTTTAACTAAAACCAACTGTAGTTTGCTTACCACAGAGAATGCATATATTTTAGTAGGTAGTTTAATTTCACAATATGGAAATTGCATCACTATAACTCATTGTTTGATGCTCAATGTTGGCAGTAATAGTTGTGCAGTTCTGAAGCTAAATAAAGGGGTGGAGTGGGGGCTTCATTCCCATCTGCCGAGGAATCTGCATTTCAAATGATAAGAAAAGTATGGGATGCCAAGATAAATTTTAAACCTGTGTATTAATCCAGGAAGCATTTGATTGGTGTCATAGATATGCAGATCAAGCAAAGGTTTTCCTATCTCTATCATCTACCTCATTTCAGAGAAAAATCTACAGTGAAGGGTTCAATCTGTTGGCTGGTTCATGTAAATGAATCCATCAGCATTTTCATGTGAATGAACCACAGCATTCACCAAGCAATATTCCCATCTAAGCTTCTACGGAGATGGGAGGCAATTACCCAAGTTATACATTCCAAGGTGAAACTGGTTCTTTCAGCTTATTCAAATAAGGATGATAAAATATCAGCTTTGTCCTGAATGAATTGCCTTCCAAAGACTCATGATCTAAGCATTCGCTTTGATGCTCATCTCAAAATCCAAGGATGGCCGAACAGCTTAAGCTGACAGGTGTATATAATATACAAACTCAGTTTTAAATGTTGATATGATCACTCAATTTCTGGGCAAGAGTGCCAGTTATTAAATATACATGGACTCTGTCTTCCACAGAATTCAGGAAACACAAATCTAAATCCTATCATCATTATTATTTTTTCTTTGCATTTTTAAAAGTATAGATTGGCACATGCTTAACATATTGGCTGAGTTAGTGAAATCTAAGTGATCCAGCCTTCACTTCTCATATCAATTGCCTTACTTACGTAGTACTAATGTTGGCTGAGTCTGTGAGATGGTAGCATTTACTTTAGTCTGCCTGACTAGTGCAAAGGAAGCCAAAAAGCTGATAATTCTTTCACCATTTGCTACCATGTTGAGAGGGAAAGATAACAAACCCAAATCCAGAAGGGGATAGACTCTCTTTTGCTGAGACATTTTAAACAATTGCTTGTATAACTCTGTTCTCCATTGAGAGTGGAGACAGCAGCCAGCCTGGGTAATGGTCATCCAATCAGCATGAAGGACTGAGTCAGCCAATCATTCTTAGTCCCGCCCTTGTTGCCGGGCAGGCCAGCTTTTGGCTCAGTCCTTCAGCTCTGGCTGGCGTGTGGGACCTTGCCTCCGGCTTATTCCTGTTTTTTCTGCCTTATTACTGTTTTTCTGGTTTTGGACTTGGACTGTTTTTTGTGACTTCGGATTGCTTATTCCCTCATCTTGTTGATTTCTCGATTGGACTGACTCTGGACTGTTTTCTAGCTTCGGATTTGTGAGTGTTTTGGGCGCCATTGCTCCGCTATTCCCTCGTTGCAAGGGGAGTTCCCCTCCCTTCTTCTGCCTTTCCCTCCTACTAGTCCTCTAGATTTGCTGTAAAACTCTGGTTTTCGTCGGAATTAGATTCCCTGTGCCCTTCCCTCCTGCCCTTTTTTCACTTTCTCGGCTGTTTGGGAGGCTTCGGAAAGCGCGGCGAGTGGCGTCGGCCATTTTAAACGGACTTTTTCCCGCCGCTGAAAATCACGCCGTTTCCTTCTTCTATTTACTGGCAAGCGGCCTGAGGAGGACTCAAATTATGGCGGATCGCCTCCTATGCTCCCTTCTCATTGGTGCTGTGCTGCGGAGTGAGCGCTTGGCCTGGATCGTCGTCGCTGTGATATTGTGGAGCTTCGCGCCCCCCCCTCTCTCAGCGCTAAGACCGGGCCTGTGACTAATCAAATTTGGCTTGTGGAGCTTCGCGCCCCCCTCCATTTTAACACGAAATCCAGGCCTGTGACTGAGCTTTTCAGCTAGTGGAGCTTCGCGCCCCCTCTTCTTGGCCCTAGCGCCCCGGATCTGCTCCATCAGTTCCGCTGCTGGAGGGGCTTCGCGCCCCCTTTTGTTGCGCTTCAGCGACTCAAACTTATGACCGGTCTCATTTAACGACCACCCTGCCATCAGTCTCCTCTCGCTCCGGGAGTCTTGTTCTCACACAGTTTCCAATTGCTGAGTCTTCGCCTGCAACTCGTTTAAGGACTGGTGGTCACTGTGCAGGTTTATAGTCATTTGGCGGCCCTTTCTTTCTGTGGAGTTTGCCACGCTCCCTCCTGTCCATTCAGGCCCATTGCCCTGGACCTGCTTGTTTTGTGGAGCCAAGCGCCCCCCCTCCTGTGTCACTTAATTGCCTTGAATTTCCACGATGCCTAAGGCTCTATCCAAGTCTAAACATGGCCGGAAAGCTGGTTCCTCTGCGGCTGGCCAATCAGAATCCTTGTCTACCTCCCAAGACTCGGCCCAGGAGGTCCCTGGGGCCCCTGCCCCGGCTTCTCGCTCCTCCCGCTCTCACCATCACTCCAAACGTAGCCTGTCGGCTTCCTCCAAGGTGGAGAAACGGAGGGACAAGGTCTTGTCTCAACTCTGTGAAAGGGCAAGTGCCAAATTGCTCGAACTATTACTTCAATTCCTACGCCTCCTCTCTTCTTGGACGTAGTAAAACGCCAGTGGGAGTCTCCTGCCTCTGCTACTCCTCCCTCATCTAATGACAAGAAGAATTTTCCTGTCTCCCCGGACCTCGATGCTCTTC